ATAATCTTAACACAGAAATCACACCACTTTATTTTCCAGTTCAAATCCTTTAAAATCCCACATCTTTGAAACATCCCCCAGGCCCTGAGTAATCTGGGTGTGCTGGAATTCTTAAACTTACTCTGTGTTCTTCCCCCACATTCGTCCAACTAGCGATCATTTGCCTTAAGATCTACACTTGCCCTGGTCTAGATATCTTCCCTAAGCCCATGCAAACTGACTTGAACTCCCACAATTAGTCACTACCAGGACTAGGAAGTTAAGACAAGTAGAAATTCAGTACCTTTGAATCTAGCTTACTTTACCCCATCATTCTCCTAGTATGACTGTGAAAGAAGTAATGTCTTTGAAGATAATAAACCTGCAAAAAACTGAGTTGCCATATAAAATACCAAGCTGAATCTCCAAATAAGTTTTGAGTTACTCATCTCATACAGAAAACAGACTCAGCTGTCTCTGGTCTAGCGTAGTTGTAGACCAAATAAATAAGACATGCTTTCCTCCCAGCTTTCTGTTCACACAGACAATAAGGTGGTATAAAATAAGGCCTGTCCAGTTATGTCTGAATTAGCCAGTGCTCAATTTTTATTCCCCTCAGATCATTTTATATGCTTTGTAGGGAAATGGTGAGATCTATGTAAATGCTTCTTGAAATGAATTCTGCACTCCACCATTCGTTTTCTCCCTTTATAATAACAGAGGTAAAAGTCCTTGTTTAAAATAAATGCTGAGAGGGGAGATATGGTTGAGGGAAGGAATGTGGAGAGAGATAGAATTGAGGGGCATTTGAGGGATGGTACTGAAACCTAGTGCAACTGACCATCTCTTGACACCAAACAAAGCTTTCAGCACAGATATAGGATTACATCCAATTGAGTTGTTGGTCAAAGTGGTTCAAAGGAAATTCCCAAACAACCCAGGTATTTGCCAAGATAATAGGTTGATCTCTACAAGTGGGCAGCAAGGTTCCACTGCTGAAGACAGTACTTACACAAGTCTTTGAGCATGGAATTGTGGAGCTAGTGCCTACATGGAACCTTCATCCCCATTTGCTTGTGTCTTTGGTAGGAAAGGTATTCTTTTAGGTTACCAAAAGAAAAATGTAAACACCAACACAGACACAAAACATTTGTTCTACAATCTGACCCATCTGCAAGATATGCTAGGACAATGGAGGCACAAAGCTTGTGGGAGTAGCCAATCAATGTCTGATTTGATTTGAGGCCCACTCCAAGAAAAGGAACCCAGGCCCTCTAAATCAGATGGTCATATGAACTCAGAGACTGAGGAAGCATGCACCAGGTCAACACCAGTCTGCACCACATCCTCTGTGTGTATATTATGGACTTCAGTTTAGTATTATTTTGGAAGTCCTGAGTGTGTGAACAAATGGGTCTCCAATTCTAGTGCCTTCTCTTGGGGCTGTTTTCCTCCTCTTGGTTAGCCTTGTCCAACTTAGATAGGATGATTTTTATTTTATCTCATTATATTTTATTTTGTAAAGAAATAAAAAATTAAAAAAAGAACTACTGCCCAACTGCAGTAGTTCTATTTTTTAATACTTTGTGGCACCTAGATTCTGACTTCTACAGTGGTTTCCTTGTTTTACATTTCTACAGAGTAAGTTCCAGGACAGGCTCAAAAGATACATAAAGAAACCGTGTCTCAAAATACAAACAAACACACAAACAAGAACTACTACATGACTCGTATAAAAAACAAAACAAAACAAACAAAAGAACCTCCTGGGTGCCAGACATGCCAGCACTTGGGAGGCCAAGGCAGGCAGATTTCTGTGAGTTCAAGGATAGTCTCATTTACATAGTAATCCATAGTAAGTAAATAAATACATACATACACAAGTACATAAATACATAAATTAAAACAACAAAAACTCCTGGGTATGTTCCTGAAGGATTCTAAGTCAACATATCATAGATATAGTAGCATTTCCATGTTAACTGTTGCCCTATTCACAGTAGCCAAGACATGGAACCATCTCTGCAATTAGTCTAGCAACAGATGAATGTATAAACAAACTGTGGTGCCTATAAACATGGTATTTTATTCATGTACAAAGAAGAATTATAGCAGGAAGATGGATAGTACCAAAGAACATTGCATGAAGTGCAATGATACTTACTCACAAACATAAATATAATATTTTTCTTATATGTTGAGGAGAGACAGAGAGAGACAGACAGACAGACCGAGAGAGATAGAGAGAGAGAGAGAGAGAAAGAGAGAGGAGAGAGAGAGAGTTAGAGAGAGAAAGAGAAAGTTAGGTGTGAGAATAGAAAAGGGACTAGAGAGAAGAGAAGGCCTAAAGGGAGGGGAGTAAATAAAAAGGATGGTGGAATATATGTAACATGAAAGCAAAATAGGGTTTTTCAAAGAGTAAAAGGACTGACAAGAAGAGGTGGGGGCAAAGAGGAGCAAATAAGAGCTAAGTAAAATCATATACATGTATGAAAAGATCATAACACAACCCATCACTTTGTATTCTAAATAAAATAACAAACAAAAATATACAAAAATAAATAAAAGCTGAAAAGAAAGAATACCAGTTCTTAGAAGATGTATCTATCTTTTAAAACTGGCATTTGTAACCTTCCCAACCCACAAAAAGTCATCTAATAACTGTTTTTTAAGATTTAGTATAAAATTGTGAGTGAGTGACCGCTGTAAAGGGGACAATAATGTTTGTTTCAATGCCTGAACAATAATCAGAACTGAGCTTTATTAGGAATACTTTGTGCCTGATAATTTACTGTGTACCTGATAATTCGAGATTGCTGCCCAACTTCCTGTAAAATGGAAACTGTGTTACAGCTTGCACCACATCACTGTTTAAGCCTACAAGGGCTATTTCCAGAGCTAGAATTCATAAACCCAAATGTCTTCGGGGATGAGTGGGGTACAATACATAAGTGGGTGGTGATGACACTGTGCCTAAACAGGGGGGGGGTTTACCACATCCAAAATAGGCAACTCTGTCCTGGTTTTTCAAGAAACATGGGGCTTCTAAAAGTGTATGCCAAGGTGCCTAATTTTAAAATGTTGGCAAATTGTTTTAAAGACCTTAACTTACCAAAATAAACACACCCAAAAGGCCAACTTCAACTCTTAAACTATCAATTATGAGCTCTACACAAGGCTTTGTGTTCTTTGTCAAGTAACGGCCAGTAAACACAAGCCTTTCCAGTGTCTAACCATTCCCAGATAAAGGAAAACTCAGAGACCATAACCCACCCGGGCCTGGTTTCTCTCTCTCAGGTACCTAGTGTGTTTATACTTTACGCCCTCCATCCTACCATTTTGTGATCATGAGAAATTTCTTAGAAAGGCATTTCATAACCTCCACTTTCAAAAAAAAGTGGTGACTGCAGAGTTTCTTAAGTCATAATGTGTGAGCGGTAGACAGGGTCAAGAAGCAAATGATATCACAGTTCACAGTAGAAACTGGTGTTCAGTGATAGCTTACTTCAGTTCAAAACAGCAATTTTCACAACCCATGTCCCACACTGAAAAATTGTCTCCTACCAATTAGTTGAAAGCCATTAGGCTTCTGCTTAGATCTAATGGATAACTGTTTCCTATTACTAGGGAAAATAATTGTATGCTAGCTATAACCTTTCAAATTATCAATTCATAAAGAAAACTAATGATGGAGTTGAAGCTTATTTGTAAAAACTTAAAAACTACATTGCAGAAATAACTAAAATACTTTATACCAAAACCTACTACATAATTTACACAAAAGAACTATATTTGAAGTATATTTCAGTTTTCAAATGTTTGTTCATTATGAATGTTAGCATTGCCTAATGGACCTTCAAATATTTTTTATTTGGCAGATGCAAGTTACTTTTCAAAGGATATAGGCACAAAAATATATTAGACTATCAAAATATATTTGAGAAAGGAAGCATGGTCAATCCTACGTCATTATGCAATGTATAAACACACACACACACACACACACACACGAAGCTTGTCTTCAAGATCATGAAATCAAATGGAATCTTTTCCTATGTATGTTTCCCCAACCATAGTAATAAAAAGGGGACAAGACAGATGAGAGTAATCTTTCTCATGCTAGACATCACATCAATGCTCACACTATCTTTGAAACCTTACACATATCTGAATTTTCTCATTTTAAAACAATTATCTTTTATAATGTAATGAAAATCAAAATGGCACAGATAGTATGCACGCTTGTTCATGTGTCAAAACTTGGCACTTAGGCCTTGGCAAATCTAAAAATACTTGTTAACTTTGCCACCTAGCCTAAGTAAAGCTAGAAAAGAATGCATAACAATCAAATACCAAAGCCTAGAATGCATGTCTCAAGCACAGCAGCTTTGGTGCTGGGCCAGTAATGCAATAATAATAATATTATTATTATTAATATAATGAATCATAGCATTATAAGTATAAGCATTCAAGATCCGGAAAAGGACGTCAGATATTGAACCTAAGAACGATTTAGGCAGAAATGTTAGCACTTTCACACAACGAAGAGGGAGTTGTACTGCTGTGCAACTCCAAAGCTGCTGGATTGTTGCAAATTATAAAATTTGAGAGATTAAGAGTAAACGGAAGATCAGATATTTCACCAAGAAACTCATGAAGATACTTGGGCTTTTCAAAAACATACGTGTGTGTGTGTGTGTGTGTGTGTGTGTGTGTGTGTATTGTGTATGGGTAAGTCTTTGCAAGTTATAAAAAGGCGTAGTGCCGATTCCAAAACTACTTTTAGCTCCCTAATGGGAATTCCAGCAAGGTGCAAACACAAAAATCCTGAATTAGGCAGCGGATGAAAGCTGAAACGCCCTTTTGTGGGGAGAAGCACTGGACTCTGGGCTGGGGCTGCAGACCCAGCCATACCGTGGGTCACTAAGCTCCATCTCCCCTCTTGAACCCTGACGCCACAGGTCTGCCTGTCCCGCCCGGGTCAGTTCACGTCCCACCCGCTTCAGCTCTCCCGCACTCACTCTGCCCGCGACCAGAGATCTGCACGCTCCCGGGCACACAGTGTGGCCACTCCACTTCCTCCACTTGCCCAACCTTAAGGTTCAGCACCGCCCTCAGCGCGTTCCCGACAGCGCACCCGACGGCGGGGCGGGGCGACATGGCACCTCCCAGGGCGGGCACAGATCGCCAGGGCTGCTGCCCAGAGCTCCAGCTGGACGCGCAGGGCCTAGGTACTCGACCGAGTACAGGTGCTCCTGCGCCCTGGCCAAGCATCATCATGGGGCTGCACAGGCTTTTGGGACAGCCTTCTTCCGCTGTGGCTCACCTACACCCCTTCTCCCATACCCCCGCCCCAGAAGTCCCAGAGTACCTGGATTCTAAGGGTGGGGTGTCCTGGCAGGGCAAGCTCTCACCAGAAAGAAGCTTGTTCTAGGACTCCAGCCCAGGAAAAGTTGGCACTGAGGAAGATGGCACTGGAAGGGTAAGGCTGGGACTCTGCAGTGCAGGTGAGCCTACTAATATCTAGACCTCCCCTTTCACCTACCTTCCAGCACAGTCCATTCCCACTCCGCCCCTTCACAGTCTGGGCTCTGCAGTCACTCCAAGCTGGCCAAGTTCCCTGGATTGGCTCAATAGGCATTTTGGATTATCTCTTCTCCCCCTTCATGGTCGAAACTTCCTTCGATTCTGTCACTAATCTAAAAGGACCCACTGATCATATCAAAAGGAGAAACACGTTTTTATTCTACAGAGGCCCTCACTGGGTTGGGATGCCTGACTATATTGGTGGGGGTGGATCTTTTGTAGTCTCTAAGTTGCAGATGAATCTCTTCCAGAAGTTTCCATACACATATACATAGAAATACTGCTATTTAAATTTACCACCCCTTAGCCCAGTCAAGTTGACACATAAAAATTTACTGTGAACTCTTATTTTAAAAGGGCACTAGAAAGGGCAATGGGATTAACTAAACATATTTAACTTTATTGTCAGTTGATCTTGTGTTTCCACTATGTACTATCTATGTTAGAATGAATGAGAAAAAAATTTACAATTGCACCTCAACATACTTCTCTAGAAATGGCAAATAATGGGAATATTGTCTGCACCACAGAGTTATTTCAAGGACTGCATAAAATTATCATTAGAGGGACTCAGGCCAATACATGATGTGTAATATATAATTAGTATATGTTGGCTATAATTATTACTACTGTGGTGTCTTTATTGTAATTATCATCCCTCCACAAAAGGATTTAGAACAGTTATCACTGAACTCTTTCCCTTTCCCCCATATATCTATTATTTTAATCATGAAACTTGATGGCCTTGTAGAGAGTGGCTCTTTATCACTTTCATTTTACTAGAAGCTATGTGAATTTTGCACATTTCTTTTAAATTCCCTCAGCCTATACTTTTCTCACCAGTACAAGATATTCTTAATCCCTTCGTAGAAATGGAAATACTTAAATTTATATATATTATGTACTGTACAAGAACATATGGAAGTACCTAACACTTTGTTGAATTAATTTATGTTAAAATTGCTTTTGGCTTTTTTCTTTTTTTTAATTTAATTTGAATTAGAAACAAGTTTGCTTCACATGTCAATCCTAGCTCCCTCTCCCTCCTCTCCTCTCCTACAACTCTTCAAACCTCCCCCAACCCCTTCCCCAATCCCCACTCCATTCTCCAAGGAGGGTGAGGCCCTTGTTGGGGATCTCTGGCAAGTCTGTCATATGATCTGGGGCAGGGCCCAGGCCCTTCCCCTTGTGTCCTGGTGGAGACAGCATCCCTCCACATGGAATGGGTTCCCGAAGTCCATCTGGATGACAGGGCTAAATGATGATTTATTGCCTGAGGTCCCAAAGAATGCTGAGGCCTCCTCACTGACAAGCAAAATTAAATCAAGAGCAGATAAGCAATCAAACAGACCTATAACCCCCAATGAAATACAAATAGTCATCAAAAGTCTCCCAACCAAAAAATTGCCCAGGTCCAGATGGCTTCAGTGCAGAATTCTACCAGAAGTTTAAAGAAGAGCTAATTCCAATACTCCTCAAAGTGTTCCACACAATAGAAACAGGAGGTTCATTGCCAAATTCTTTTCACAAAGCTACAATAACCTTGATATCCAAGCCACACAAAGACACAACTTAGAAAGAGAACTATAGACCAATCTCCCTCATGAACATTGATGCAAAAATACTCAATAAAATATTAACAAATTGAATCTAAGAACACATCAGAAAAATCATCCACCATGATCAAGTAGGCTTCATAACAGGGATGCAGGGATGATTCAAAAACGAAAATCTATCAATGTAATTCACCATATAAACAAACTGCAAAAGAAAAAACACATGATCATCTCACTTGATGCAGAAAAAGCCATTGACAAAATCCAACACCCCTTCATGATAAAGGTCCTGGAGAGATCAGGGATAACAGGAACATGCCTGAACATAATAAAAGCAATATTCAGTAAACCAACAGCTAACATCAAACTAAATGGAGAGAAACTCAATGCAACTCATCTAAAATCACGAACAAGACAAGGCTGTCCTCTCTCTCCATATCTCTTCAACATTGTACTTGAAGTTCTAGCTAGAGCAATAAGACAACAAAAAAAAGATCAAGGGGATACAAATTGGAAAGGAAGAAGTCAAACTTTCACTATTTGCAGATGATATGATAATTTATATAAGTGACCTAAAAAACTCTACAAGGGAACTCCTACAGCTGATAAACACTGTCAGCAAAGTGGCAGGATACAAGGTTAACTAAAAAAAATCAGTAGCTCTACTATATACAGATGATAAATGGGTTGAGAAAGAAATCAGAGAAACATCACCCTTTACAATAACCCCAAACAACATAGAATATTTGAGGATAATGCTAACCAAACAAGTGAAAGATCTGTAGAGCAAGAACTTTGAGTCTTTAAAGAAAGAAATTAAAGAAGACACCAGAAAATGGAAAGATCTCCCATGCTCTTGGATTGGTAGGATTAACATAGTAAAAATGGCAGTCTTGCTAAAAGCAATCTATAGATTCAACGCAATCCCCCTCAAAATCTCAGCACAATTCTTCACAGACCTTGAAAGAACAATACTCAACTTTATATGGAGAAACAAAAGACCCAGACTAGCCAAAACAACCCTATACAATAAAGAAAATTCACCATCCCTGACTTCAATCTCTATTACAGAGCTATAGTCCCAAAAACAGCTTGGTATTGGCACAAAAATAGACAGGTAGATCAATGGAACCGAATTGAAAACCCTGATACTAACCCATACACCTACAAACTTTGATTTTTGACAAAGAAGCTAAAATTATACATTGGAAAAAAGACAGTGTCTACAACAAATGGTGCTGGCATAACTGGATATTGGCATGCAGAAGATTGCAAATAGATCCATGCCTATCACCTTGCACAAAACTTAAGTCCAAATGGACCAAAGACCTCAAGTTAAATCCAGCCACACTAAAATTCTTAGAAGAGAAAGTGGGAGGTACCCTTGAACGAATTGGTACAGGAGACTGCTTCCTGAACATAACTCCAATAGCATAGACACTGAGATCAACAATTAATAAATGGGACCTCCTGAAACTGAGAAGCTTCTGTAAGGCAAAGGACACAGTCAGCAAGACAAAAAGGCAGCCCACAGAATGGGGAAAGATATTCACTAATCCCACATCTGACAGGGGTGATCTCCAAAATTTACAAAGAACTCAAGAAGCAGGTCTCCAAAAACACTAAAGGAACCAATTAAAAAGTGGGCCTTTCAGTCCCTTTAATAAAAATATTCTAAACTAGAAGTCCAATGCCCTAACCATTGCACCACAGAGCCACATGAAGTTGAGTAGGGGGAAGAATAGAGAGAAGGATGAGAGATACCATAATAGGAGTCATTATAGGTTTGAAGAGAGATCTGGTACCAGTGAGATGTCCAGAGGCCTGAACAAGGGAGAGCTCATAGACCCCAGACTGATAGCTGAAAGGTCAGCATGGGACTGATCCAGACCCCCTGAACATGGGTGTGAGTGAGGAGGCCTCAGCATTCTTTGGAACCTCAGGCAATAAATCAGCATTTAGCCCTGTCATCCAGATGGACTTTGGGAACCCATGCCACTTGGAGGGATGAGGTCTCCATCTGGACACATGGGGGAAGGCCTAAGCCCTGCCCCAGATCATATGACAGACTTGCCAGAGATCCCCAATAAGGGCCTCACCCTCCTTGGAGAGTAGAGTGGGGATTGGGGAAGGGTTGGGGGGAGGTTTGAAGGGGAGTGGGAGAGGAGGGGAGGGAGAGGGAGCTAGGATTGACATGTGAAGCAAACTTGCTTCTAATTTAATTTAAATTAAAAAATAATTTAAGAAAAAAGATTTGCAATAAAAGCCTTGATGCTAAAAACAATATTCTAAACTATTACTCTGTCCTCCTTCAAAGGGAGCCAGCCAAGTTCAAGACTGGTAGAAATTTCTCCCTCGCAATACTACAGCTAACTCCAGGGATGCCACATCCTTGATCAATGAGTGGACCTTTAGCAGGTATGATGGGCCATTATTCAGAGACAGGTTACCTACCACCCAACTAATTGTCCCAACTCGTAAGAAGTGGAGTCCCATAAGTTGTAAATACAAATGAAGACGTTTCCAGCTCAGAACTTGAACAGATATTTTTAATTTCAGGAAGACATGAAAACATTTTACTATATCAGAATCTCCTTGATGGAATTAAGATGATCCCTGTTATACTGCAAACTGTGTTTCTGGAAAATAAGGGTCAATTACAGGTTTTCTCCTGTGAATTGAATCCTTCTATGCTCAGGTAATTCTTTGACTCCTGAAGACCACTTCAAAAACTATTAGGTGGCTGTGTTTGAGCACTGTAAGTGTCTGCTTCCAGTAGATTATAAGGTAGATGATACAGAAACATCTTAAAACATGTGGTGTTTTCAGCAGGTCATTGGATGCATATTTGTTTATCGGTGCAAACTGCAGGGAAGAGAGCCTGAAAGATGGGAGAAGTTCTGGAGAATCCATCATGATTGAGGTCAAAACAATGTGTAAACAATACTGCTGTGAAAGACAATGA